GCTACAGCTACAGCTACAGCTACAGCTACAGCTACAGCTACAGCTACAGCTACAGCTACAGCTACAGCTACAGCTACAGCTACAGCTACAGCTACAGCTACAGCTACAGCGACTGCCACTGCCACTGCCACTGCCACTGCCACTGTTACTATTTTTTTATTATTATTATTATTACATTCAATTCGATTGAATTGTTCGATATTTTCATGAGACATTCATATTATACACAAAAAATGAAGCAGTGATTCTTAATGATTTTCATGAACATAACATTTTATCTGTAACTTCGTATTAGAATACATAATATTTTAAAATTTGTTACAATGTAACAAATCTAGCTTTGGCACCTTTTCTCAAAAATTATTATTTCAAATTTATTAAAATTATAGGAATATTTTATTTATCTGTTTCTGTATATAGCTATCTTTATTTTCCTTTCTCTTTTTTTAATAACAATGTAAAATATCTAATTTCTTTATATGAAATATATTAAACTTAAACTTAAATCGAAAAATGTTTACATTAAAATTTAATGTAAAATATATATTAAAAGATAAAATCTAATATAGTTTGAAATTTTATGTTACATTGCTATTTCATGAAGGATTAAGTGTAATTATTATATATAAGTATACTAAATAATAAACTTAATTTTATAAATATCCATGATTAGTATTTCATATTAATCTATTATTTAATATGATGAATAAAAACACATGATATTTTATATTCATTTGCATTAAATTTACACATATCTATATTACATTCTACTATCCAATTGTTTGGATTTTCTAAATATGGACCAAGTAATACACGGATATATATATAAGGTAGTTTCAAAAGGCCTGTATTCGTTCTTTGTTTACAATTTGATTCGTCTGTTAGGGTATTTAAGTTAAAAAAAAAGAAACTAGTTTTAACTGAATTATATGTAGGACTTCATAATTATCATCTGATGAAAGAAAAAAAGGAGTAAAACAAAGAGAAGCTCATTATAGTACACAATAAGTTTAATTATACTTTAAGAGCTATATAGAAAATGCAGCTTATAATACAACATTGTTTTTTTCTACTTATTTATTTAAAATTTATATATTTCATATATAAATTTTATAATCAGTTATTAAACCATTTGATTAATTTAAAAATAACAAACTTTTGATACAATGATGCAATAGAATGCTCTCAAATACTTTAAAAATTGTATTTATGAACATTTTATTCTTGAAAAAACACTTATGAATTGAACGATATGAACGAGATTTTGAATCTAATAAATAAAATTAAGATTTTGGTTTTACAAATTATGCTACCTAAAGTATATAGTGAATATATATTGTAAAATTATTTATTAAAATAATTTTTATATGTCTAACAGTATATGGCTATGTAATCGTTTATTCTTTTATATAGGCCTGCCATTTCTTAATTAATGTTAGGTTCCAAACATAAAGCTCTTAATTTGATCAACTATATATATTGAACAATAATATAATATCTATGTATGTAATCAAATTTCCATACAAAATTACTGTAGAACAAAGCAGATCATTTTAGTATTTTATATTAACTTATTCACTACCATTGCATATTCATACAAGATATACATAATTAATTATAATAACTATAACAAATTTTTATTTTCATTATAATATGATGAAACATAATATAAATATTAATAATTATTATTTTAAATTTGTATGAAAAATTTGAAATGTTTTAACAAATATACACTGATGTCAAATTATGGCAGTGAATATGTCAATATTATGAGATGACATGTAGTTACATGTAATCATTATCTTTTACTACATTTTTCTAATATCACGTTACTACATATGTATTTAAAATTACTTGAAGCATGCCACATTTCTTCTAAACATAAAAATAACTGACAGAAATGAACAGTTATCTTTTAAGAATAGTATCTAAGAACATTTTAACATTTTTTTTCCACTAATCACATTTACATTTTTGTAAAAAATAATTAGTTTTAATATATTTATTTGATAATATTGAATATAAAAAATGATCTTTCTAATATTAAGCTTAATAATGTATCATATTTATTACTCTATTTTGATTAGACCCTTCTAGATATTAATAATTTATGATAGAAAAAGGCTACCAAAATTGTGTAATAAATATGATACAATGCAAAATTAAGATTCAAAATATGGATGTTATGTTTTGTATTGAGTAATAAGTATTAAATTAATTGCTTACTAATTTCGTACTTAAATTTAATTAGCAAATTACAAATATATTAATAACAATTACTATTAATTAAATGCTATGGTATAACCAAAAATTTTAACAATGATTAATATCTTTACTAAATTTTAAAAATGTATGAAAATGTATGATAAATATCTTTAACAAAAAATATTTTTTGTAAATTTTAGATATTTTAAACATATATATTAAAAATTTCTACAAAAGAAATTTTCAGAAATTAACATAATTTAAAAATTAAATTATTAACAGTAAATAATGTTGGAATTTTTTTAATTTGAAAAACAATTATAAAAGCATATTCATAACTTATAAAAAATTGATATAAATAAGAAACACTGTTTGTTTATTTAAATAACAATAACTAGTTCTAAAATTGATTAATACATAAAAAATATATTTTGGTATATCTACTTAGATAAAAACATGTGATTTATCATGTCATACATATATCTTAAATATATGTTTCTGTTATAGTTTGAAATGTCTCTTAACTGTGCAGAAAAATATATTTTGGCCAATTTTTATATGCGCGTATACAAACACGCACACGCATGCACACATACATACATGTGCAATATTTCATTATTAATAACTATCATTTATCAAAATCATTTTAATGGCCTTACATAAATTTTAATTAACTACTTTAAAAGTAGTCATTTAAAATGATATATTCTGTTATCATCATCCTTTTATTATATTATCATGTCATGTACTCTTATCTCAGTTAGTCTATTTGAGCCTCATCAATTCCTATGATACAGGAAAATTAGGGCATTTTAGCTTCCAATTCTCCCAATAGTCCATGTAAAAAATCATTTTATCTATAATGTTCTATAAACATATTTGTATATTATATAAAAGAGATTTTTCTTTTATCCATAGCAACAGCACTATGAAGAAAGACTTACTCTTTAAAAATACTGTAATATCCTTTGTGTACACTGTACAAAACTAAATGCTATCATATGAATAATAAAATGTAAAAGAAATCAAAAAAATGAAATTTTTTAATTAAATGCTTTATGTTTATATGTGTTAAAATTTTGTTGTTTTTAATATGATACAAAATAAGTGCACAAAAAGTATACAATTAAATATCTTTTCTTTGGTTTTATGCCATTCAATATTTGAATTTAATAAAAAAGTAAAGCGTATTATTTTATACTTTCTATAAAATGCTACAAATATTCATTATGCAGGCACAGTCAGGAAACAAAAAATTGATTATTCACTTACTGATGAACTACGTCTACCAGAAGCTGCTAAATCACTAATTGTGGAATTGTGACGTGTCTTCCTTGAACCCTCATTATCATTCACAAGATTTGGATTGACTGAATGAGAAAGAGCAGCTGTTTTATTAAAATCTATTGTAGCATACCCTTTTTGCAGTTTATTTGGAGATTCTGGAGGAGATGTAGTAGAATTTGAAGGACCATCTATTGGTGAATTCATTGGTACATCTTTTGTATCCAAATCTAATACAGCATAGTTTACTTCTCTAATTGGACCACCTGTAGGTGTTGATGGAGGCAAAGGTGATTTCTCTGCTACAGAAACTCCAGAAAATCTTTTTCTTAAATTTTCAATTTCACTTGGTTCTAGATTAGCATAACAATGCCTTGTTGCTTCTTCTACATCAGACTGAATAGATGATAATGGTGAAGGTCTTGGTTTAGTACCATGAGATTCTACATGTTCTTGACCAGGATTTATATTTATATAAGCATGCCCAGATTCATTATTTTCATTTCTGTCTTCCTTAAATTGAATTACTTCGGAAACACTATGAGTTGGAGAAAGTGGGCTAACATCACTATTAATATCTACATTCATATAAGCTGCTATTGAAATTGGTGATTTAATTTCCGATATTACTTCTGAATTTTTGTTCACAGGTGTCAATTCCAATGATGTTGAACCATTATCAGACACAGAATTACTGATTGTGTAAGACCTATGAAAATATACAACCATATATAATATTCTACAATAAGGATTATATCTTTAATTACCTTTGTATTGCTCTTCTAAGGCTTTTGTTATTATTATATTCCATTTCCAATGATAAAGAAGATAATACTTCTTCATTCACATAAAGTGAGGACGGATGTGGTTGTAGGAGTGATGGTGGTGGTGGTGGTGGCAGCACAGGAGGTGATGTAGGAGAATTCATGTTTCCTTCAGGTGATATAAGACCAGTGCTACTTCCCACACTATCTAGTCGTCCAACTCCATTTTGTTGATTATGAGCAAATCTAGGCCCCATATGATTATTAGTTCTACTCAATATTGGATCCAAATAATTAGGCTCAACTGGTATTGTCACTCTTGTTACTGTTGGACCAGAATGAGTAGTAACTGGGATTTCTCTAGATATTGCATCATCTCCACTATTATTACAAACCTATAATAAATTTTACTTAAAATATATGTAAATATAAAAATTTATAAATATATGTTTAAAAGAAATTTTTAATTATAATATTTTTAAATTAAGTATAACTTAAGAAATAATATTTTCAATTGATAATCAATGTACTATTAATGTTTTATATTATAAAAACTAAACAAACCTGTATATTTGTTTGCACAAGATTAAATAAATGTGCAGCTCTGCGACATTTAAATGCATAAATGCCTGGTCCTGTAGAACATCTTCTTCCTGATTCAAAGCTAAAAATTTCGGCATCATAGCCATATCGCCTTAAACAACGCAAAGGCCATTTAATTGGCTGTTTACCACGTTGATAAAGCACTATATCAGTTTCTGTAACTTCTAAGCGTCCTGGTGTAATTAAGTTACCTAAATCATCTACATTCATCACTTGAAAAACATTTGGATGTAAATCATTAATATCTGTTCGACTATTGACACAACCCATTCTTTCTTACTCTGAAATAAACAAAATAAATCAAATTAATTTCACTATAAAATTTATTTTTTAATAAAGTAAATATATTATTAGTACAAATACATAGAAAGCAATACTTAATAAAATTAATATCAAGTTTCAAAATTAAATGATCAATCTCAAAAAAAACATCCTAAAATTTATTATAAACATTACACAAGACATAAAAAAAGAATTGCTATATAACATAGTTAATTATTTTGTATAATAAAATAATAATGTAGTAATAATATAGTAATATAATTAAGAATTTTTTTTAAAATAATTTAATTTATTTCTACATATAATATAGGTACTATCTCGATATAATGAGAAATAAATAATATCAAAAATGAGCAATTTACACAAATTTTATGAAGTGAATTTTAATACTTAACTTCGAAAACGTACAATTAAATATAGCACATATTTTAAATATTTAAACAATCATGAAAAGATTTTAATAACATTTATACGTAATAACATTTACGTACCAAATGCGACATATCCAGAGCATTCAACTTATTTCCTCAGGTAAATTATTTATTCTCTTTCAAACAATACACCACACATTTCACATAAACATCATTACATACTAATCTGTACTTCCTTGAAGTTGCTGCAGATAAAAAAAATAAACTATTGTGGAACGAATTATTCAATTTATATATGTGTGAACATGTACTTATGCATTCACATTTTATGAGACGCAAGTTAGATCATCAATTAAATTTCACATATTTCAGTAATTCAACGCAACATACATATGTATGTATGCATCTAAAAATTATACATAAATGTATATATATTCACATTATTATAAAAATTAATAATTATTTTGATCAATTTTTGAAGGAATTAATATTTTTTATATTTCTTTTTATAGACAGTCTATTAAAATTTACTTTTTTTTTATATTATTAGTTATTAATATAGTATTAATGTCCATTTTGATAAATTCATAATTTAAATAACACATTGTAAACATTATAAAATAATTATTCATTAATAATTTTACATTTTTTTTATAAGGAACATAGATACATTTATAAAATAAAAACAGCAACTAAATAAATTTTTAGAATTTAAGTAAGCCGCCATTAATACAACTATTGAAGTTGAGTTTACTTTATTTGAGAACGTGTTGCATGTTCGATTTATTTTGGAACACTTACTTAGTATTTCATCGTGTCGAATTGCTGACGTTGAAAATTGAAATTGAGGTGATGAAAATGATTTGGGTTAAAATTTTTTGATGCATAATTCTATTGATTTATAAAATTCGAGTGTGTAATTTATAAAATTCTTAATTATTAATATTAAAACGTAATAATGCATACTGTTATAGCACGCGGCAATGCTATTACAGCATATACTTTAAGTGTTGCGGCGTGTTTAACATTTTGTTGCTTTCTCTCTGTTGCATTTATTGATTATAAAGCAAATGCAACTTTAAATACTGTAATAGTAGCTGTGTAAGTATAATGAATTTATTTAATATGAATTTATTATAAATATAAGCTCTAGCAAAATTAATTTATGATTGCCTCTAATTCATTTATAATTAAAAATTAATTCATTAATTTATGATTGTCAAATTATTTGCTATATTTGACTTATTTTTTTAAAAATTCCTATTTTTGTTACCTATTACAAAAAGTATTACATTCTGAAAATCAACATATTTTAATTATTTTAATAAAACTATATAATAAAGCTATAATATAACTAAATATAAAACTATAATAAATAATGAAAATGTTTTGATTAAAATTATTATTGCATACTTATAGTAACAGATGTATCATTTATTTAATAACTATTAACGTCTTCTTTTACAGAAAAAATGTAGCAGATTACAGTGCTTCAAGAGAAAAAAATGATTTGGGATATTTAACATTTGATTTACAAACTGATATCCTTTTTTGTTATATAATTATTTATTTATTATACCATTGAATATCCCTTTGTGCTGTAAATATATTATAACAAATGTTTTATGAAACATTTAAATTAAAATTTAAGAGACAATATTTCATCGATCAAATATTTATTAAATTTTTTATTTATTTGTATAGTTAAGCATATTTAATTTTTTTTATATAACTTATAAGTTTATATCTAATAAGAAATAAGAACTTCAGATCTATGATATTATATTAGAAATATGAAATGTAGAATTTCCTTACATAAATATACATCTTACTCCATTATTTAATTGGAATGTTAAACAACTATTTTTATATTTGACAGCAGAATACCAAACAGAAAATAATAACTTTAATCAGGTATAACACAAATGTTATAATATATAAATAGTTCTAGTTTATAGTAATGTTTATTTTAATTTGTTGAATTAAAATATTTTCACATTCTAGGTAGTATTATGGGATAAAATAATACTTCGTGGAGATAATGCTATACTTGATTTTAAGAATATGAACACAAAATATTATTTCTGGGATGATGGTAATGGTTTAAGGTAATTTCTTTACAACTATAAATAATATTATTTAATGGAAAAAATATAGTTTTTAGTATATTAACTTAGTATGTATCTTCTTTTTAGAGGAAATAAAAATGTTACATTAACATTATCATGGAATATTATTCCAAATGCTGGACTTTTACCAAGTGTTAATGCTTTTGGTTCTCATACTTTTGCATTTCCACCTGGATATACTTCATTACGCATGTAATATACTTTTCTATATATGTAGTAATGTATACTCTTTATGTTAAAAAGTTATTCTACATAAAGTCAATGTGTAATAAATGTAACATAATTTTCATGTGTAATTATTGAATAACTATGGTGTTTTTAAACTTTCTTATTGTATCTATTCTATATGTATTTTGTTTTTATAGAAATAAATTATACAAAATTTGAAGTGCCAAAAGTCTAAAAAACACTTTCTGCCTTCTTGCCACATTTAAAAAACAACACATTATGATTCATAAAATATATAACAGTGTGATATATTTATTTTTTGCAATCTCACATTTAATTGCAAAACTTCAATTTTTGCTAAACATTTTTAGTAATGTTATGTTTGGTGTAATTTATTATTAGAATTTCTTTCACTTTCTCTTGTTGATTCATTATCACCAACGTCATCATTGTCGTCGTCGTCGTCGTCATCGTCGTCGTCGTCGTCGTCGTCGTCGTCGTCGTCATCATCGTCATCGTCATCATCATCATCGTCATCGTCATCGTCATCGTCGTCGTCGTCGTCGTCGTCGTCGTCGTCATCTTGATATTCACCATCATCTTCTTGATAATCAGTATAGTTTTCTGGAACATAATCGTGAGGCTGATTTCCTATTCAAAAGAAAATGACTCGTAAGTTATACATGAAATAAGTAAATATGAAAACAAATATCAAGTTCTTTACCATAATGGTTACATCCATTCTCATCAGATTCATATGTTCCACCTTGACTCTGCCTACCAAATTTATGACTTCTTGCTATCATAGAATAAAAAATATAATTTTATAAACCCTTCTAAATGTCCATAGATACAAGAAATGAATAGTAAAAATAGATGTATTGCTTACTTGACATGCTAAGATCTTTTGTTTGAGATGTTTCAAAACCACATTTAGGACAAGGTATAGGTTTGTTTTTTTCATATTTAAATCCTTTTCTGCGAATATGATCTTCACAATAACATGTTTTACATCTTAAACAAGAATATTGTCCTAAACGATTACATGATTGACCTATAAATATTCATTGTTTAGAATAAATGTAAAAGAATTACATTATTATAATTGTATAATTATGTCTTTGTTTTACATTCTCACATTTGAAACTTTCTGCCTCTAATACTTGACACGAAGCTTGATGCTCAAATTGATCGTCTTCACAAAGAAAACAGTTACAGAATGAACATCGAAATATTCTTCCACCATGATCCCATATACCTCTTTCACATTCTTGACAAACTGCATCTATTAATGGACATATACATGCATGAGTTGTAAGACAACGTCTTCCATGGCAAATCCATGCTTCACAATGATCACATATGGCCCCCTTTAAATATAGATATATGTAGTAGTTTATGCACACTTATTCTGCTATAATATTTAAAACATTATGGTTACAGATTAGCTATATTTACTCACCACCATACCTAAACCAGTAGTAAAGACACCAGGGTGACGAACAACACAATCTCCGGTTTTTAGCATACATTTTATTTTTCCACAATGAGCACACATTGGTAATCGTTGTAGACTTTGACAAAAATAACAGAAAGCTCGACTTTTTTGCTTCTTACCACATTTATCACATTCCTTTATTGAAATAAGAATTAAATAAAAATATGATATATAGAAAAACGATTACATTTTTAGTATTTTCTTCTAACTAATAATGTTATTGGTTAACATATTCTAATAGTTTTACGATATAAAAGATATATTTGTAAAATCTCAATTGAACTTCATTCTGTATTTATAAATTGGTTTAATTATTATCACGTAGAACTGTATTATAACACATAGTTACTTGCCATTACTGCATTACATGGAAATTTAGCTAAATCTAATTGATCTTTGGCAGTTCTAATTTCTTTTTGTCTTAATTTCTGTTTTTCAGCTTTCCGTCTTTGCCCCGTCTTTTTCTTCGGCATTTTGCGATGTTTTGTATTAATCTAATAATTATAATTATATATTTACTCCTGCCTAGAACATGTATAAATTACCTTCAATACAAATGCTACAACACACATCTATGTAGTACTTCAATTCGATCCCTCGAAATGAATATTCAACTTCGATTAATTGGTCGAGGTTAATAGAATTTAAATTCATTTCATATATTTTAAGAAGATATTTTCAGTAACTTCATTATTTATAATTAAAGTAACAAATTTTAATGATAATTGCAAACACTATTATAATAAATTTAATTAAATTTTATAACAATATCACAGACCTTATAATTTTATAATCTTTTGTATTAAACGAATTTAAACATTGATTTTGAATAAAAGTATATATTCTATTATCTTTCTACAATGCATATTTAAATTTGAAAGTATAATTTAAAAATTTGAAATATAACTTGTAAAATCTAATCTAACAAGGACAGTGCAAGTCCTTCGGGTCACCGATTTAGTCGAAACCATGCAGGTTTGTAGATTTCGTCATGTAGTTAAAGAAAATATATCATCATAGATGCAATTACTCAATAGTTTTTGAAATATTTAATTAAATGTATTATTATTGCTCTAATTATAGATTTATTTCCAAATATTTTTCGAGTGTAGTTGCGCCCTAATGGCGATATTCGAACATTCCTACGCTGGAAGATCGGGGTTCGATTCCCGTCCGTAGTTAGTAGTGTCTCTCTTCAATCTATTTTTTATTTTGTATTCATTTATCGCCTATGAAAACAATGTAAATAAACAATTGTAAATAAAATTTCTTAATAAAAAAGTTTATTTTTACGCTTTCTTATGCTAGTATACATTTATTACAAAATAATAAGAATATTATGCAAGGAAAACACTTTTCCATAGCAATCTTATTTACTACAGAAAGAAAACGAAAATATAAATAATTATTAGATACAGGAAATATAAAACCTATCGCTCATGTAAGTATTAATTAGTAAATTAAACACTGTATAAGAATGTTGCTTATAATTCCAACTTTGCTGTGCAGCTATAAATGTTCATGAATTAATTACAGAAACTTGGAAATTCATTAATTTTCAACTACCGAATTGATTTATTAAGATGTATTAGGAGCACATAATTAGAAGAGGTAAATAGTTCAAATAAAAATTTTACTGCCTGGGATCAACGCCATCTATAATTTCAGACTCGAAGCTCAGAAAAGTAATAGGAACACAGAATAGGCGAGGAGGTCGTCAAAAAGCTTGTTACGAGGCAGATAAGGACAGAGAGGAGATAGAAAAGAATAGAAGAGTAATAAGACAGTAAAAAGTTAATAAATTAATAAATTTCTGTAATTAATTTATGAACTTTTACAATTGCATTGCAAAGCTGGAACTTTAGGTAACATTCCTAAATAATTTTCGTAAAGCATTTAACGTCAACCTGTTAGTTATTCATTATTGTTTGATGGCGTCCATGTTTTCGTAACGACGACCGTCTTCATCTTCCGCTAAAATATTTAATACTAAACGAAAGTAGAAGCAAAATGTGAATAAAAGTAATATGTGAACATACCCTAGGCTATCGTTTATATAACGCGTGCATGAAATTCATAAATTAAGTGCATAGAAAATAGTTATTAATGATAAATAATTACGATCTTCGGAGACATTTCGAACACTCGATGAAATAAATAATAATAAACAATTAATTAAGAAGAAATTACTATTGAAAATTATATTAGAAAGTTTCTGAAGGTTGCGCCTTTACGATACAATTGTAAAAATTCATAAATTCATCACAGAAATCGAGACATTTGTTAATTTTCCGCTGCTGAATTGGTTTATTAGGAAGTATTAGGAGCACATAACCAGAGATAGTAACCTATTCAAAGAAAATCAGTGACATTTATGATTTTGAATTCGAAACTTGGATTAGGTAGAAAAAACAGATAGCGCCTGGAGGTTGCCTAAATCCACGTGACGTGTTGAACGAAATAAATAAAACAATAAGACGACATAAATAATTAACACATATTCTCCTCCCTTCCTTTTATTCACTTAAGAACCCTATAAAGTTTTCTACATTCTTTAATAAATTAAGACCAAACAACGGTTTTAATTAGCCAATCAGCATTCATTTCTTGACACATGACAAATATGTGAAAGTACGCCTTTAGAACGCAATTATAAAATTTCATAAATTTATCACAGAAATTGAGTGATTTGTTAGTTTTTCTCCAAGTGAACAGGAAAGTGCATACGAAATGAGAAAAAATTATAAACAATCGCTGGAAGCATTGTTGTGTCCATGCAGGAGACAGGTTATTAACATAACCTTTAGTTGTAATTAAATAGTGTAAGTTATGAGCTATTGCTTTTATTAGTGATAGCAGAGCTTGGTTGTCAAAATATAATATTCCGTTCAAATAAACAAAATAGTAGTGAAGTAGCGAGAAAAAATGTTAGCAACAATATAAATATGTAAGTTATGATATGTCTATTGGATTCTAGGTCGACTAACCATATGACATACAAGGTAGAAATCTTTGATGGGCAAATAAAAATTCATAAAATGCAGATGGTTTTGGCAGACAAAAAGGAATAAAATTAATTTAGGTGATAGCCTCCTACAACAACTGGATATAGAGAATACAGTGAGATTGAAAGGTATTTTGTATTCCTCATCTAAATACACATCAATTTCAGAGGTCAAAATGAATAATCATTCGTAACGTGTCAATTTTCAGAATGATGGAGCTGAGCTACATAAAGAAAAGGGAGAAGTTCTAATGAAAGCAGTGAGAAGAGGAAATGCATATTATGTGGAATCAAGAAACAGGCTGCATATGTATCAAAAGAGAAAAATGTGTGGCATCGACATGGAAATATAAGGATTATTGAAGAGATGAAGAATGAATAAGTGGTAATAGTTAAATTGAATAATTTAAAGATAAATTGAATATATAGTGTAAATGTTGTATTAAGGCAAAAATGTGTAGAAATATCTATGGGAACTTGGAAACTATAAAAGCTTCAAGAATAATGGAGCTGTGGCACATCATGGACTTTATTAAGCCAATGTTAAAAGGAGGTAAAAGGTAACATTTGGTTGATTGATTTGTAAATGACTAAAGATTTAATATGAAATATTATTGATGAAGGATTTGTTCTATTACAGGATACTTACAAACATGAGTAATATTTATATACAAGGGCCACCCACTATGGCTAAAGTAAGTATTAATTAATAATATTTCAATGGATTGTACATCTGTTTTTAAAAATATAACGTATATACAATATTTACTTTCTAAATTTATGTATTAGTATATTAAATAATTTCTAATGTAAATTACATTGATAAATAATAAAATTTGATAAATTTGATTTTGAAAGTATTTTACATTAATAAAGCTAATATATTTATCATACCTAGGTTACAATGAAAATAACTGTTGGTGATATTGAGTTAGAATTATGGGCAAAAGAAACTCCAAAGACATGTAGAAATTTCATACAATTATGCGTGGAAGGTTATTACCATGACCCTATATTTCGTACACAAGGTGGTGACCCCACAGGTACAGGAGAAGGTGGTAAAATATATGGAGGACGATTTAAGGTGAGACTATATTTAAAAATAAAATGTATTCCTTTTTTACTGAAAAATAATTATTGGATCTATGTGTTTTAGAACGAATTTCGTACAAGAATACGTTCTTATGGACGAGGTTTAATTGCTGTGGCTAATGCTGGAAAAGATGATAATACTTCCCAATTCCTCTTTACTCTTGGTTCTACATTAGAATTGCAGAGTAAACATACAATCCTTGGGAAGGTTATTTTAGAAACTATATATAACATGCTTAAATTTGAAAAGGCACCTGTAGATGAGGTAAATTTAATGTTTACCAGAAAATATGTCAAGAAATGATACAAATATCATATTTCCTCTTCTTTGTAGAATGATAGACTACTTTATCCTCCGAGATTGTTAAAATCTATAATATTGAACAATTCATTTTCTGATATTATAGCAAGAATAATAGTACAGAAAAGTGAAGAGGTAAAGGACAGTTCAAAAACTAAAACAGCAGTGGTAAAGTAAAGATCATATATGTTTGCAGAATTTAGCCCTGGTAGTATCATTCCTTGAAATGCAAAATTTTGTTACAGAGATTTCAATATTTTATCATTTGGTGTAAAAGCAGAGGAAGATGAAGAATAATCTGTGATATTAAATAAAAAGTTCATTGGTGAGGGTAAATCAGCTCATGATCATTTAAGTGATTCAAAATTAAGCTCACAACCAGCTGTTGAACCACCTAAACCTGCAATTAGAAAAAGGAAGGAAGACTGCAGTAGTGATTAGGAAAGTGTCGACGAAGTAAAAACTTAAGAAGAATTAGAAGTTATAAAGAAAGAGAGTTAGTTTATTGTTTACATTATAACTATGTTATAGAAAGTAGGAGTTTTTATTGACTGTCTTATATTTATATTTTCAGAGCAATGAAGGAAAAGATAAAAAATAAATTGAGAGATACACAAAAGGAACCGAAGAAAGTAGAAAATCATAAAATAAATTATGTTGAAGATGATAAAGATATAAAGGGAAATGAGTAGGGAATAAAGAACTCCTTATGAGGTTTAGCACAAGAGAAAGCCGAGGAGAGGCACGATAAGAGAGATAGTTGCAAGAAAAACCAATAGTAGAAATTTTTATTGAAATCACAATCTATTTTTGTTTTGTCTTTACATGTAACTGGTATATGTGATACAATATACAAAATAAAATTAATTGTAGGATGTTTTGAATAAGTTTGTTTAGATTTATATAATTTGCATTACTTATACTGCAAGAAAGTGTAAATATAGTTGCAACTTGCAAAGTAATTCATAGAGCGTTGACAATGTAGAGAATGAGGGATAATAAAGATATGATAAGTAAATAAGTAATATACAAAATGATCAAGATGAAGAAGTGATAAGTAACTCGATAATCAGCAATGTAGCAAAGAACCAATACTGAATAGATGATAAGTAACTCGATAATCAGTAATGTAGAAAACTAATGTAACTGAAGAAATGATAAGTTACATAATAATCGGTAATGTAGAAATAATCGTTACATAAGAGATGACAGGTAACTCGATAACAAGTCATGTTGAGGACAACCAAATATGAACAGAGAGTTACTCGATAATCGGCAATGTAGAATGCTTCCATTAATCAACAGATGGTATCTAACTCGATAATCGGCAATGTAGAAAGCAATCAATACTGAATAGATGGTAAGTAACTTGATAATCGATAACGTAGAAATCAACCGTTATTGAGGAGATGATAAGTAAATCGATAATCGTTAATGCAGAAAACAAGCAATACTGAATGGATGATAAGAAACTGTATAATCAATAATGTAGAAAACACCTGTTACCATAGAAATGAAAAGTAACTCGATAATCGTTAATGTAGAAAACAACCGTTACTGAAAGGATGATAACTAACACGATAATTATAATGTAGAAAACAATCCATACAGAAGAGATGATAAGTACATCGATAATCGAAAATGGAGCAAACAACTGTTACTGAAAGGATGTTAAGTAACTCGATAAAAGTAATGTAGAAAACAAATATTACTGACGAGGAAATAAGAACCCGATAATAGGTAATGTAGAAAGCAGCTGTTACTGAATAAGTGGTAAGTAACTCGATAATCAGAAATGAAAAAAACAACTGTTACGGAAGAAGTAAGAAGAAACTCGATAATCGATAATGGAGAAAACAACTGTTACTGAAAGGATGTTAAGTAACTCGATAATGAGTAATGTAGTAAACAACCGTTACCGAATAGTTGATACGTAACTCGATAATCGGTAGTGTAGAAAACAACTGTAGTTGAGGAGATAATAAGATACTCGATAATCGTAATGTAGAAAATAACTGTTACAGAAGAGATGTTGAGTAACTCCATATTATGTAATGCAGATTATAATTGATACTGAAGAGATGGTTGGTAATTCGCTAATATTCGCAATGTAAATTTATAATACAAGTGAAAAAATTACTAAATTATTTATTATTGTTAGGATGTATGACGAATTTGTGTTAAAATGGAACCTTAACTTAAAAGAATTTAATTGATTATTAAATTTGTTGTTAATAACAAATTAAAATTCTTTTAACAATTAGTTTGCAACGTATATTAGTTATAAAAGTCAAAAAAGTGAATAAATTATTAGGTACTACTTAAACAAACAACGTATTTGTGTTAAAATGTATTTATAACTTACAATAAGTTAATAAATTTATTGTTAATAGTAAATGATAATTATTGATAACAAATAGTTTGCAACGTATATTGCCGATAAAAGTAGAAAAAGTGAATAAATTATTAACTACTACTTAAACAAACAACTTATTTGTGTTAAAATGTATTCGTAACTTACAAAATGGTAATAAGTTAATTAATTTATTGTTAATAGTAAATGAAAATTGTTGATAACAAATAGTTTGTAACGTATACTAACGGTAAAAGTCAAAAAAGTTATTAACTTATTAGTCATTAGAGCAGAAAAGTAATTTTTAAAGGAATCGGTAATGTTTGGAAATTTTCGCCGATTTTCGGCCGACCGTCGCTATATAAGAGGCTAGTGTCGAGGCTAGAGCCAGTTGTCGGTTCGATTTCCTAACAGTTTCGTCAAAATTTTTGCGGGGGCGAAGGGGCTCCGAAAGTGAGGCTGTGATTATCAGTGGTCGTTGACTAGACCTTCTGGCTAGTCGATAGCTACTGTACACTGCACCCACACCCCGACCTATTAAGTAACTTTTCCTTCCGCGTACTAATTATTTTTACTTCCAGGTACTAATTATTTTTACTTCCAGGTACTAATTACTTTTTCTTTCAGGTACTAATTATTTTTCTTCTTTCAGATTTTATTTCTCTCATTCTATTTTTCACTGCTTGAGCATTCGAGTATTTAGTACAATATTCGAATGCTTCATCGTTCGGTTGTCAATTTTTATTTTTATGTCTAATTTATTTTCTTTATCAGGATTTAATTATTTTTCTTCTTTCAGATTTTATTTCTATCACTCTATTTTTCATTGTTTGAACATACGAGTATTTCACAAAATATTCGAATGCTACGTCGTTGGGTTGTCAATCTTTATTTCCATGTCTAATTTATTTTCATTTTCAGGATTTAATTATTTTTCTCCTTTCAGATTTTATTTCTATCATTCTATTTTTCATTGTTTGAGCATTCGAGTATTTCGTATAATATTCGAATGCTCCGTCGTTGGTTTACTTATGTCTCATCGTTGGCTAAATCTTTCCTTTCACAAATTTTACGACTTCCGTTCGATTTGTTTTCGTTAGAGCGTTCGAGTATTTCGTATAATACTCGAGCGCTTCCTCGTTCGTATGTTTATATCTCACCGTTGGAATGTGTTTCTATCTCGTAGTTATGTTGCTCAGGTCTCGTTGTTGGCTTGTTCGATCCATTTGGTTATTATCCTTGATGGTTTCCTCGTACTAATCCCTTTCCTTTCAGCTACATATTAACAATAATATATTCTGTTTTAGCTTTTAGGTTTCCCAAGATTCTGTTCGCGACACATCAATGAACGATGCGTGCGTTTACTTTTAAGTAATCATAAGATAGATCCATAGACTAAGTATCATGTGCGCGCTATCTGTACAAAGGTAAGCTGCCTAACTTGGAGCGACTATATATATTTTCCCTTATCCCTCTCATTTACCAAACAGAACATACTTGTTCTCGCGATAGTCGTGATTGTTCTTAAGTCCCGACTAGCCTACGCGACGTGCTCTCGTGTACTAAATAAGTACATACTTCATAAGTCATCCTCACGACTCGTCTCCGACACTCATTTCCAGTCACTGTCAATCTCGTCATGCATCGGGTTCCAGGGTGACCCCCCCGGATCAGTGCGTCTTCTGACCTCGACGGGGCGGTCCGCTGCCTAAGTCGTACGCGACTGGGGCTCGGGCACATGCTAGCTGACGGACTAGTACCATCTACGGTTAGACCACAGGGATGATTAAGTTCTACCCCGTGTGGCTGGGATGCGAAGTGTCTGTCTTGGCCGGCAACCGCCCAGCAGGGCCCTCGCGTTGACACTAGAAGTTTCATTGGTTCAGGGACTATCCTTGGTCCACGTGTAAGTCTTGGCGAGTGCGACAGTGACTGGAATTGAGCTAGGCCCGATCGGGAGGGTGCCGAGGTATGAAGTTATCTCTGTACACGGGAGTACATCGCCTAGGCTAGTCGGTCTTTCGAATAATCGCGAACTCGTTCGGGCGCGTCGCGATTTTCTATTTGTTCGCGTGTTTGATATTTCATTACCTATTTTTATGGGAACTTGAACATATCTTAGCGTTACGACAGTAGAGTTTCAGTATACCGAATCGAAGTTCCCTTTGTAAGACACGAAATAAAATAAAGTGTCAGTAGAATCGTTTTAACTTAATACGCTCCAAGTTAGATTGGGGTACCTTTGATTCAGGTAGCGCCAGCAGGCTGCGCCACTAGGGCGCATGTTGGGTCTCAATGCGTAGCCACCTCCACGTGGTGAGACCTGGTAATTGGTATCGTTTTCCAAAGAATAATTTTTGGGAATCGATACCAAGCTAAGAGCTGCGCACAAAGTTTAGGATATTTCCTACCTCTTGTAAATTTTCAATGTTCCCTTTGGAAATTGAAAATAGGGAGTGGGCAATAACTGTTTACACGATATTTAAATGAAGAGGGATTAAGGTAAGTAAGGGAAGGAATTGCAAGTAAGGGAAGGTAAGTACAAAGTAAATATGGGATAAGTAAAATTATTAAAATATACTGTAAAGTAGAAAAAGTATTGTTTAGAGAA